AACTCGATCTGCACCGGCCCGAGGATCGACTCGTCCTCCGCGACCCGCGCCTGCGGCGCGTCGCTCGGCTGATCGCCCCCCTCGTCTTCGGCGGCGACTTGCCCAGCCACCGGCCGAGCGGCGATCGGCGCCGCGACTTGAATCGCTTGCAGCGCGGTCTTCACCCGTTCGGGCGGCGCAGCGGCGGTCGAAAGGATGCGGACGCTGCTGCCCTTCGACCCCGCGACGCCGGCTTGTGCCGCGATAGATTCTTCAATCGCCGCGACCACGTCGCGCCAGGCGGCGACCGCGTCGGCCGGGCCATCGATCGCGACTTCGCCCGTTTTGCCGTCGACTCGGAAGCGCACCCCCGCGCCGTCACCGAGCGAGGCCGGGAACGACAGCACCGTGTGCCCCGCGTCCCAAGTGGCCGGCAACGGCCGCCGCGCGAGCGACTCCAGCCGCCCGTGCAACTCCGTCGGCGAGAGTCGTTTCAGGGAAAGCGTCGAGCCGACGCCGACGGCTTGCGGCCCGATCGCCTGCGGCTGGGCGCCCTCGGCGCCGGTAACCAGGCGCATCAACTCGGCGTGCGTCTCCAGCGGCCCGAACAGCAGCAGGCGTCCCGTGCGGTCGTCCCACACGGTCCGCACGTCGGCCGGCAGCGTCTTGCGCCACGCCTCGACCGCGCCACGGCGTTCGGCCGGAATCGAGTGGGCTTCGAGCGCCGAGTCGGCCGCGACCTGCGCCAGCGCGTTCGGCGACGGAACGAGAGCGACAATCGCCATCACGCCCATGACCACCGCCCTAGCTAGGGGAGCGATACGTCGGGTCGGTAGTGGCGTCGTCGGCGTTGCGTGAATAAGCATCGGTCCCCCCGGATCGGGCTCGCGGGCAGCGCCCCCACGGCGGGAGCGGTCGCGGCGCACGATGGCAGCGCCAACCGATACGATCGGCGTCATCCGGATCATCGGCAAGGTTTGCCACGGGTCGCCAAGATTTCCGCCAGCATCCGCGGCCAAAGTAAGGGACCACACTGCTAGCAGACCGCCGCTGTAGGGTCCGCTGTGCGGACCGTGGCCCGCGGTCAAAATCTCCCTCGCCGCGCCGCGTTCAATCCAAGGTCCGCCCAGCGGACCCCACCGGGCCAAATGCCAGCCCAAAGCCGCGATCAAGCCGAGGAAATCACCACCCCGCCAGAGGCCCCAGAAAGGGCTCTCGGACGCGCCCTCTCCGCCTGACCCACAATGAACGCCTGGACACACAAACGCCCGCCTACGAGGCCCCTAGGGCCCTCAGAATCGATGCTGTGACCACCGTCACCGGCTAGGCCGGGAGCATCCCTGCCAAAAGCCTCTCAGGCCGCCAACTTCAACCATCGGCGAGCCGTCAGCGTCCCAAGTCATGGTCCGCAGAGTCCGACCCTACGCGGCGTCGCGCGACGCCTTCTGCGCTTCGCCGATCATCTCGCCCAGGTCGACCGTAAACTTCGCCCCGTCTTCGGCGACGACCGTCATCTCCCGCTGGCTGACCGATTCGACTTTGCCCTTAAACTGGCCCACCTCCAGGGCGTCGCCGTCGTGCAAGCGGAGCGTGACGCCGGTCGTGCGGACCACGATCCAAGCCTCGTAGGCGTCGCCGTAGCCGACGATGCCCGACAGCGCGGCGTGCTCGGCGTCGTCGAACGGCGGCGGCGATGGTTTGGGCTTGGGCGTTTCTTTCACAACCGCGACCGGCGCCGGCTTGGGCGGCGGCGGGGGCGTGTAGCTTGCAAAGAGATTGCGGCCGCCGACGCTCTGCACGTAGTCGCCCGCCGACGGCTTCGCCAGCCGCGCGGGATCACGGGGCGTCTCGGGCAGGCCCGTCTCGCGCGGCGCGCCGTTGACGATCAACGCGACGCTAGTAAACGTGACGTTCCACTCATCCCCCTCGTCGTCCGCGGGGCGGAGTTGGAGATTGGTGATCTGGTGCAGAACGTCCAGCCGATAGTAGGCGTCCAGCAGCTTGACGACGGCCTCGGGTTTGCCGCTGGCGACCGAGGTGAACGATAGCGACGTCGAAGCGTCTTCGTTCTGCCGCACCGAAGCGAACTTCACCGAGCCGAGCTCGAGACCCGAGGCCTGGATCGTATCGATGAGCCACGCCGTATAAACGCTCCGCGCGACGTCGGGGTCCGCCGGCAGCGACTGCTCTTGGAACTTCTCCAATTTTCGCAGCGACTGCCGCGCACGGCGGGCGTCAACGCCTGTGTTGAACAGCGTTTCGTCGAGCTCGGACAACTCCCGCATACGGCGGGCGTAACCGTCCTGGTACGAGTCGAAGAAACCCCAACCGAACCACGCCGCGACGATCAGCAAGACGCCGGCGAGCAAGAACTTCTCGCGCTGGTTCATGACGACGCCTCCTCGGAGTCAGAGGCAACTTCGGCAGGAGCGTCTTCGGTGGGCTCGTTCGTTTGTTCTGAAGGCGCCGCTTCATCTGGTTTGGCCACGGGCTCTTCATCTAGCGAGCCTTCAACCGACTCCACAGGAGCCGCACCCGTCTCCTGCCCGTCGGTATCGCCAGCGGAGGACTCCACTTCGCCGGCCCCTTCAACGTCCTCGTTCGCCGATTCGTCCGCAGGCTCCTCATCGGCGACGACGCCGGTGTCCGGCGGCACGCGCAAAAGGGCGGTGTACTTGTAGCGGTACTCGTCTTTCGCCGGCGTCTCCGTCGTGGAGATCGGCTCGACCGGATGATTCCCATCACGCAGCCGCGCCTCGAGTTCACTCGATGACGAGCTGCGCGCGACGGCTGTCAGATCGATCCGCCCGCCCGGCTCGTTGCCTCCGAGCATCGCCGTCGCGATCAACTGGGTCGCGCGGATATCGGACGCAACCGGGAAGTCCTTGGCGTCGAGCGGCGCGGGGCGGAGCTTCTGGCTCAGCCGGTCGAGTTCGTCAAGCCAGTTGACGTCGCTCTGACGCCACTCTTCGATCTCGGCGACCTTCGACTGATAGGGCTCGAAGGCCTCGACGTCGGCCTCGGCGGCGGCGATCTCCTTCTGCTTTTCGGAGATCTGCCGGTCGAGCTGCGCGACGCGGTCGTACGCCAACCATGCGGCGGCGGCGATCACCGACGCCGCGGCAGCGCCGAGCAGGACCTGCCGACGGCGGCCCGTCTCCGCGACGGGCGGGCGCCGCGGGTCGGCGAGGTTGATCGTCGGTTTGTCGCCGCGGGCGGTAAGGATCGCCAGCCCCGTTGCGGCGAGGCACTTGTCGTACGCCGTCGCATCGATGAGGTCGGCCGCCGATGTTTCCGGCCACATCGAAAGAGCGATGTCCTCACCGGGGATCAAGTCGTCGTGCAGCGGCAGCACCTTCGGCGCCTCGACGCCATCGGCGGAGAGCGCAAGCAAAGTGCGTCGAAGCTCGCGCTGGGCGTCGGCCTCGCCGACATGAGCCGAGCGGACGAGCACC